CCACCAAAGCGGAACGTGTGCACTTAACTGCTGTGCCACCAGGCTGGCCCCTCACTATACATTCTTAAGGCAATTACTTTGGGTCTAGGAAAGATCAATTTTTTAGTGTTTCAATAATGTGTGCCATAGCTCCTCTTGAAAAGTTTTCAGAAATTCTAAGAAAAATGGACAGAAGCAAAGAGGATAATAGATAGATAGGAAAGAAATACCTAATAATTTTGAGGGCTGTTCAAGACCTAGTCTCAAGTTGTAGAGCAGTCATATTCAAATTCTTTTGATTGTTTTTCAGTTCTCTGTGTGAAAGCACTAATGGTTTGTCCCTACTTTTTTTTTTTTTAAAGATTTTATTTTTTTCGTTTTTCTCCCCAAAGTCCCCCAGTACATAGTTGTATATTTTTTGTTGTGGGTCCTTCTAGTTGTGGCATGTGGGATGCTGCCTCAGCGTGGTTTGATGAGCAGTGCCATGTCCGCGCCCAGGATTCGAACCAACGAAACACTGGGCCATCTGCAGCAGAGCACGTGAACTTAACCACTCGGCCACGGGGCCAGCCCCCCGGTTTGTCCCTACTTTTAAAATGTCACTTAGCAGATATTCGTCCTCTAACCAGCAAGTGGAATTGATTCTATTTTAGCTTCATCATGAATGCCAATGTTTTGTTGCAGAATTATGGTAGAGATGTTCATGCTTGTTTTTCACTATATACTTATTTATTGTGGATTGCTACATCACTGGGCAGTTAAGAAGAGAATCACTCAATTCTAATATGTTTAGATGAGCTTCTTTCTGATTTGGCACATGGGTAGTAAAAACGCCCTAACAGTGTTCCCTGGTGTGCCAGGGGTTTGCTCTAGATATTAACACTGCGGAACTTGTTTGCTAGGATGGCCCATCATGGAAGTATAGTCTTCAGTTAAGTAGATGTTAATGGATAATGGCGTGTTATTCCTGCCTTAACCCTGTTACCAACCCACTCAGTTCAATTTCATTTGCCTTTAAAATAAGACAGACATGTCGTTAAAGAAACTGGACTTAAACTTTCAGATGACTGAGTTTACAGGGAAAGACAAAAAGGAGACGAGAGATGAGATGCACGTTGTCAGATAACCTGAAATGTTAAGAATTGTGGAAATTGTGAGTTTGATAAAGGGTTTTAGAGAGTATACCATATCCCTCTTTTTGTTTCCTAGATCAGATTTTGCAGAGGAAAGTGTAGTTGTTTAGGAACTAGAGTCCTTTGCTTCTTTGGGTCTTCATTTCTTCCCGTGTAAAATTAAGGGTACAGAAGAAGCAATTTTTTAAAATCAGAAGGAGCCTTAGAAGTTAGCCATTTTATAACTAAAGAAACAGAGCCCCAAGAAGCCAATTCATCTTACCCGAGATCGCACATCTGGTTAGTGCCAGAATTGAGACAGAGACAAGCTCTCCTTACTTCCGTTTCTCTCTACGCTGCACCACCTCCGTTTCAACTTCCTTCTACCACTGCTAGCATTCTGTGATTTCAGGGAGAATTTTCAGCCCCTCCAACTTTCCTGATTCCCGGGAATTCTTTTAAGTTATGACTAACAAAGTGTAAAATATGAGTCAAAATTTAGTCCCTAATAAAGTCATTGTGACTTTAATGACTTCGGCAGTTGTTTCGTACTGCAAAAACAGGAAGATCCCACACAATAAGGCGCCTGTCTCACAGATGGGCTCCTGCGTAGACGGCCACCCGCAAGGGTAACTACGAGGCTGTCTTTCTCTCTTTGGCATCTTTTTTCCATCTGTATAATTTTCACCTACTGACTTCATCGTGAAGTAATCAAGGAGAGGAAGTGCCTGCTTCTCTGGTCTTCCATAGGCTGAAGAATATTTTTGAGCACTCGGGATTCACTCCTAAGTGATTTCCAGGTCACCCCGTAACAAACCCCATTTAGTCTTAAAAGTGGCTCTTTCATTGCTTGAACAAGCCCCTTGTATTATTACTTTTCTGGAATGTTTTATTCTTAGAAACATAAAATCACCAAGTTTTAGAAATGGGATGAATCTCTGAGATCAGCCCAGTCCACCCATCCTGTGTGATTAATTTAACTGAGAACTCGTTACCAAGAGAGTTCTTGACTTGCTTGTGGATCTTTGCACAAAGCTCAAACTAGTCCTCTGATGAGAAAAATGATGAAGTGTTCCATCACTTCACAAGAAACTGGCTCATACGAAACAATCTCTGTATGTAGCACTGAAGCTAAAGAAAAATTGAAGCCATAAAACAAAATGTTCATATCAAGTGTAATTGAATTTCAGCTTTTGCTATTCTATATATTCTAAATAAATTCCCACTATTAAATGTAGCCTATTCAAAAAAATTCACACATGATTTTATAGAGAAGATATATTCTATGCAAACAATATCAAATCATTTATATAGAGGATACCTTTTCCCTCTTCAAAAAATAGCTGTAATTTCCAGCAGTGTTTGCAAATCTAGTGTTGGCATAGGCTGAAGGAAGCATTGGAGGAATGTGTGTTACTAAGAGTTCATTCACAAACTTTGCTTGTCTGTGTTGAAAAGAGGCTTTGGCCATTTCCTCTGGGGACATTATTTCTAGTTGGCTCTAACAGGGTTTTCTTGTGAAGGCAGATTCTTAACAGAAAAATAGGATCTGTGTACATTAAGTAGTAGAGACACATTTATCTTTGAAATGGTGTGCTCCTGTTTGTGGATTTCTCTACTGCATTTGATAAAGTAAGTAACACCCATTCTCTTGCAGTCCTATAACTCCTTGGGACACAGTTTCACTCAGGAGCTATTTTACCTTCCTGTCTGGGCTGAACTGGGTGTCTGATAAAGCTTGATAAAGTATTCAGGGAGACTCCAAGAGTCTTAGAAGGTAAAACTCTGGAGGGATGATAAATGCTTCTTTTCCTTTGCTGGTGACTTATTCTTATGGTCTGAAGCATTTCCAGTTTCGGTTGTTTTTCTCAGTAGTGTTGAGAGAGTTTTGTTTTCTGGGAAATATTAGTTACCGGTAAATAATGTGTCCAGACTGTAGGAGGCTGCCACAAAATTTATCATAGATTCTTGACAGGTTCTGGCTGAGATCCTAAAATCATGCATCGCTTTCATTTTATGTATGAGAGGTGGAGTGACTTCACAAGACGGTCAAAGCTGGGAAGGAAAGTCAGGTTTCATCTCCTACAACGTGGCTGCCTCTGGCCCAACAGTAACAACTCCCGTATGGGAATCAGACGCTGAAAAGCCAGCTCAGCCCAGCTCCCAACTGTCTCCTCAGCCTTAACCTCAAACACAGTTCATATCTGTTCCATTCCTTGATGTATCTCCTCACCCAGGCCAGCACTAATCATGCTAATTGAACTCTATATTACCAGAACGTAAAAGATACCCCCTGTCTACTCCTTGAAGGCCATGTCTGCCTTCCTTAGTTTGTACAGAGCCCAATATAAGTGGGCCCTTCATAAATGCTTTTTGATGAGAGCAATGATTGCTTTAGTCAGTGTGGTTGGGCCCTCCCTTACGGGGGAGAAAAACCAACAGCTGTTGCTAAGCAACATTTAAAGGACTGGGTCGATTTCTGACACAGAGTGACCTCCATTTGTGTACTTCATTGTCCTTTGTGTTTTATGGTTGCCTTAAGATGACTTTGCTTTTTGGTAGCATTGCCATGCCCTTAGCAAAAGGCTCATAGGACAGCTAATTGAGGCATGAGAAGGAGGCAGGTGGTATTCATCTGTTAACTACTTACATGAGTACACTGACCCCTTCTGCAAGCTATGTAGGAGAGGGGAGGAGTTTGGTTTATTCTCCGCCCTATAGCCCAGCACCACTTCCCTGCCCCAACACTGGGAATGAATGACAGTGTATCCCAACAGGGTCCTGTGGCGATGGGAGATGATAGAAAGGAAGTAGAAGAAAACTCTTTCCTTTCCTGTCCTTTTGTGATTGAATTTCTGCCTGCTCCTATATTCTGAGCTGGAGGACCAATATGGCTAATAAGGAACTGGCCCCTCCCTCCCCAGACTGTTAACTTGCGGTTACCTAGCATGCCCGAATATATCTGACTATTTCTACTAGGGTGCAAGTTGATTAAAAGCGTGAAAAGGTTTTTGAATTTGTTTTTTTCTTACTGTTCTATCTTCAACGCCTTGCCTGGCACATTTGAGGTGTTCAATAAATATTTATCAAATACATGATAAAATGGTGTTATTGAACTAGTACCAAACTGATTGACTCCAAAATCTTCCTAAATATTTCAAAGAGAATAAAGGATGCTGAATGAGGATGACTGTTTGAATGCTGCATTTGGCTGTCTAGTGCAGAGCATAATCAAAGAAGTTGCCTGTCTCTGTGCTTTTTAAGAGATGCTTTCACAGTGCTTCAACTAAAGTTTGCTTCTTTGCCAAAATTCAGCTGATCAGAACATAGAAACCTATCTTTTCCAGCTTCTAAGACTTTAGAGTAAGTGCCTGTCTTCTGACAACTGGAAATAAGAGGCCATTATGACCAAGCTGTCACGTTTAAAAAATAAATAACTTGGAACTTCAGCGATTCACCTGGAACTCAAAATTGCACAGAGATTCAATAAGTAAAACACACTAGCTGAGATGGTTCATTCAGAGATCCCTGGTTACTGTTAATAACATATCGTATGATGGGAAAACACACATACACAAGCAGGGTTCCCAGAAAGAGGGTGATTGTGCCTCTTTGAGGACAATGCATAGTGCAGTGTCTGCGGGCAGCCATACTGACTCGCGTTGGCTTCACCTCGGAAGACCTAGTCTCCTGGGCACAGGCAGTGGCGTGACTGGGGCCTGGATGCTTGAAGTGGAGCCATTGTGGGTGCGGATGCTCATTTGAAAGGGGAATGCCTCACAGGAAAGGGAGCCAATTGCGTGTGGGGGCTGTTGCCATGGTGTTCTGCTATTCCTTTAACATGCTGCACTGGAGCTCCTGGGAGCCCGGGGGTGGAGTCGTGGAGAGGAGGGAGACGGAGGGCAGTGGGAATGGCCTGGGTGGGGAATCCCACTGCAGTTGGGCTCGAGTCTCAGATCTTCCTCCTGCCTGTGCTCTCTCTAATGACGACAAGGAGAGAAAGAGAGCCTACAGGAATGGCTTTCTCAATGTGCCCTAGATTGCTAGAACAAAATAAAAATTAACTCCTAAATGTTTCTAACATGAATTAGAACATGTAACGCTAAAGTACCAAATCAGCATAGTCATTCATAACCCAAATAGTTCACCATTCATGCAAATGATAGCGTGTATATCTTAACACACTCTAGATCCTAGATCGAAAGGTCATATGTGCTCAATTCATTTGTCAAATGCAATCTAATATGCATATTAATGAGCTGATGGAGTGCAGAAAATTGCATTCTGCATATGAAATACTTTTAAAATGAAATAAATTAATTCTGTTCCCATGAAAGAAGGCTGAATGCATTGGCACACCATTGGTATGCAAAAAAAATCCTCCAAAAAGCTAGTTTGAAAAAATATTCCTCTATTCTGAAAGCCGAGTCTGAAAACAGCCACAGTTCTAACCTATTTCCAGTTTTTTTTTTAATGTTCAGAAAGCAAATTAATCAAACGCACCATCACTTTGAAACGGTTCGAGTGGCTGAGCTCTGTGCGGAGGCTGCGTCTGCAGAGCGCTGGTCCCCGCAGTGGAGAGAGGGTTAAGAATACCTAGTTGAAATGGGGGAGGGTACCGACTTTGGATTTACTTAAATATTCATGGGGCTTCCTCCATTTTAATCTTCTCCTTTTTAAAAGATGGCTGTGTTTCCCAGCCTGGCAACCCCTCAGGAAAGAATTGCTCCTTCCAGGCAGAGTTCAGCTGAGCAGGACTAATCTAGAGTGGAAACCCCTTCGGCCACCAGGACTATTCATAATTCATAAGTGCTGCAAACCAGCCAGCTGCATACATTTGGACAGGCTCTTGCTCCTTTGTGCAATTGCTGATTTCATTACTGTGTCTGCCAGGAAAGAAGCGGGCAGTGCAGGCTTCTCGCAAGAATGGAGTGCGAACGTGGGCTTTGTTTGGATTAGAAAATGCCCTAAGTTGTGGAGGCTTGGTCTTTTCTAAGTTTTGATTATTTTACCACTGAATCTGCAAGGCTTTCCCGATCCTTTCGAGATTGCTCTCTCAGAACTGTGAATTCTTTCGAAGGGATTTGTGGATTGCGGAAGGAGAGCATTCCAAAATGCCTGAGGCGAACTATTTGTTATCTGTATCTTGGGGTTACATCAAGGTGGGTTAATCTGATTCTGTTATGTGTCTTTGCTGGAATGTGAAACATTTACAGCTGTATGTTTTCTGTGAAGTTGAAAACATCTGTAATGATTTCATTTCTGTTGTCACTGAGCCCACTGAGGCTCTCACCGTGAAGTAAGGACATGTTATATTACATCGTATGGAAATAGTCTGTGCTGCATTTTAATCTGATTTTCTTTTTTTTACACAACTTTATTTTTAAAAGATGCTTCTTTTATTCCTTCATTTTCCCTTAAACTTTTTACATATAATCTCCTTTCACTGTATGGATTATTAACTTAAATTATATTTTACAGTTAATTTCCAATAAATGTATTTTAAAATGTAGTTCCATTTTCAAGTGAAATTATCTCAACCTATATTAAAATTGCTTTTCCTATGTTTGCATCTTCAAAAGAAATCAGATGTTAGTTCCAAGAAATCTTAAGGAAACCTCTCTTTCCTCAGGTGACGTTAGAATAATTTCACATAAAGGGGGTATTGTATTTTCAATTATCTAATGGTATCTGCTCATCCAATCTCTTGGTTCTTAGACCGTAAAGTTGGAAACATATAAAGTGATAAACTGATATTTTTTAGGTGGTTAATACATTTTTGTTCTTCATACACAGTTCAAAAGAATGCTGAACCGGGAGCTGACACACCTCTCAGAAATGAGCCGATCAGGGAACCAGGTGTCTGAATATATTTCAAATACTTTCTTAGGTAAGATATTAACTGGGCAACCTGCTCCATAACAGATTTTTCAGTATTAATCTCTGTAACCCATCAGGGACATCCCCATGTGAGTTTGGAATGGAGTTCAGTCACAGAAGAACAAATCCACTTAAAATAAGAACTAAGGACAATCTTGAAGGTGAAAATAATAAGCAGGAAGATGTTGTTAAAAAAAAAAAAAGAGGAATGAAAATACCCATCAAAACAGAAGGTTATTATGGGCTAATGGTATTTATTTGGACCTTAGGTCACCCGGTATTTACCCACCCATTTCCATACCTGCCAAGAGCTGTGAAGGGGTGGCGGGGGTGGGGGGCTCAAATCTTCCAGACCCTGAGGACGACTTCATTGGCTCCCCTGACAGGGTATTCTTGAAATTCTTCCAATAACTGGGCTTTGAGCAAAGGGTTCCCTCTTAGGTGGTTTCTAAGAGATATGGTTGGAGAATAACGGTATGATGATTTGTTCCATGAGAATAAGCTTCAGAAATAACTTGACTACTGCTTTGCTAAGTTATTGCTTAAAGATAAATGGGGGGAAAAGAATGTTCACTTCTCTGAAAGATTTGGCCTCCTGCAAGCAGCATCGTTATCTTCCCAATCTGAGGCTTTATCTGTTATGCTCTGTCATCACATTGCTAGAATTTGACACATGACACCGACAGAAAAGGTTTGCATCAATGATCTTCAACTACTGTCATGCATCCTGTTTCATTGCCAGGGATTTCTGATCTCGTGTTTAAAGCTATTCTATTGTAGAACGAACCTATTTGGACTATATTTTTCTTTCATAAGGCCCGCGGAATCTGTAGATCTGCACTTCAAAGTGAATGGGTAGCATTTAGATTCTGATTTTTTGACTCAGTTACCACTGAATTATGCTTGTTTATAGAACTCTACTTTCCAGGGAAATGACCTGTTCTTACAGCTGAACATCACGCCTCCCTTCTTTTTGGCATAGCCACACATCATTAAATCAATGAGCATTTGCCTTGACACCTTATGGAAACACATACCTTTTTTGCTTTTATTGGAAAAAATCAACCCTATTTCTCTAATACCAAAGCAGTTCCTGCTATCAGCAGATCAGTCCTCAATCAGCCTAGTGCAAAGCTCATGGCATTAGTCTGCAGTGATGGGCACCAGAACGATTAACCAGTGCCTTTCCAACTGTCTCCAGTACGTGGGTGTCTGCAGCACCTGGCTTTCTTCAGCTGCAGTTGCGACAACCTTTGATGGAGAACAAAGGAGAAGAATTTTTCATACAGCCTAGCTCTGAGAGGTAGCTAGCATCTAATTGAGCAGAAAGCATTACGTACCAGTCCTTTTCCTCCCCATCGTTCCCCCTTTATTCCTTTGAAGGCAGGCATCTTCCGCCTTCCATTTCAGACATACTTTGTTCTGTGAAACACCCAATTATTTTTCCTAAGCTGGGGACTGTTTTAGGGACCTTTTACAGGTTAATGACAGTGGAAGAGAAGATTGAAATCAATAGATGCAAGCGCTCATTTTTGTTTTCATAAACATTGCATTCGGAAATACCTGGGCTCGTCTGTCCTCTCAGAAAGAGACTCTCCCAGCGTGAAGCTGCGTGGCGTCCCCGAGCCCTGAGCCCTCCCGGGCTGCTCCAAAGCAGCCTCCTCTCTGGTCTCTTACACCATCTGCTTGCCAGGGGCTAGAATATTTTAGTATCCTAATTAATCTTTTATCATCAAAGGCTATGGAGCGAGAAAGCTGATAAGAGAACACTTTGTATCTCAAGAATAGGCAAATGTCACCTCTCTCTTAAGCGTTCTGTGTGCTGGTGAGGAACATCTTGTGAGGAAAACCCAGCCTTTGGCTTCTCATTACTTCAAAAACTAAGTTATTAAGAACAAGTTGTGGGGGAAAGTTGTTAGAATCTCACTCCTTATAGACTCTTCGCATTAGGAGGGTAGTGTGTGTGCATGTGTGAGAAAATGTGTGTGAGTGTGTAAGAGAGAGTATGTTAGTGTAAGAGTGAGTGTGTATGTGTGAGTTGTGAGTAAGAGAGAGTATGTGTGTGAGTGTGTCTATGTGAGAGTCATCAGTGTGTGAATGTGTATGTGAGAGTATGTGAGTGAGGGAGTATATGAGTTGTGTGAGTGAGTGTGTATGTGAGAGACGGTTGTATGGGCGTGTGCGTAAGAGACAGCACGTGAGCACGTGAGAGAGTGTGTGTGAGAGTATGTAAGTGTGAGAGAGTGTGTGTGTGTGCATGCATACAAGTTAAACTCAATCAGACTAGACAGACATTAAAATTTGAGACATTCTTGGGAAAGTGGAGGGGGAAGAAAATCCATCTTATAAACAGAAGATGTGTCAGCTGCATCATCTGTGAAATGGGAGCACTTTAGACGCCGTCCCAGAGAGAGGATGTTCGCTCACAGATTCCAGTTCTGTGAAGAGGCTCTTGGCAGCAGCCATCTCAGTGAGGGCCAAATGAGCAGACCCTGGCCGTTTAAGTTACAGTTGAAGAGAGTATCTCAGTAAGAGTCATTGAATGTTAACAGGTATCCTCTAGGGAGGAGGGAACCCCTTACTCAAGGGATCTGAGAAACAGGCGTTGTTTCCGTCTAAAGGGTGGTGTCCAGATGGACAGGCCCGAAAGGCAGGCGAGAGAGCGGTCCCCAGTGCCGCGCTTCGTGGTGCCGTTCTCTCATGGTGGGCTCCAGCTGCTGGCACAAGAGGAAGGAAAGCAGGACCTGCAGGGACGAAGCAGAGAGAAAGCACGATATTTAGATGTGATGTTACAATTTAGTTAATATTTTTACAAACAGAGAAAAATCGTCCTTTTAAAATCCCCTACTTCCCAGCTCAAAAGCTAGAACATGGAATTTTCAAGACTCAAGGAAGAGAATTTAGGAATTCTACATGATTAAAAGCTGTGAGCTAGCAAGAGAAGGAGCTCGAATTACGCCATTACCAGAGTTTTGACGTGACCATTTTTGGGTCTGTGTTTTTATTTGTTTTCCGCTGGCCGCTGTTTCCCGGCTGTGTTCTGACCCTTGTTGATGTTGATTCACTAAGCGTTGACTGTGATTCTTTGAGTCTGCCTTTCAGGTTATTTCCATGTCGCCAATGCGCTGGCTAAGCGTTTGAGAGGACATTCCGGATAGGGAACCCTATCCGTGGTCCCAGGGCCTGCGGAGGGAGACGCCTGTTAACATCACATTGGCGGTCTCCGTGAATGATGGCTTTCTTCTTTATTGTCGTGTCCCAGACGCAGTAGTGGTTCAGCTCAATTACTCGCTGTTGCCGGGAATCTTTAATTAAACACAGGGCAAGAGCGACCAACCCACGAGAGGTTTTATCTCTGCAATGACGTAGGAGACTCCAGCAGTCTCTTTAGCCAGACCTGAACAGTGGGGCAGAGGGGTGATCGGGACGGTCAGGGACTCTGGTGGCCTTTCATTGAGAAAAAAGCAGCAATTATTAGGAATGAAATGACGGAGAGAAAAGTAATTTCAAATACAACGTATATAGTTCTTCTGCCAGAAATTGTGAGACTGGAAAGACATTTTTGACAAGAAACTCACGGCCTGGGTTCTATGCTGTTAAATCAGTGTCGGGAACAAAGTAATTACTAAATAAATATCTGGGGAATAAATTGGCCTTTGAGCTTGGGCAAGTTGCTGACTTCATCTGAAAAGTGAGAGTGTGGGGTTATTATTGGTTCCCAAACCTGGCTCTGATCATCAGAGTCACTTGGGAAGCTTTTTAAAAAATATTCGTTCAGTGGGACTGGGTGGGGCTCCTAAAGCTGTCTTTTTTTAAAGTTCCCTGGGTGCGTCCGATGCTGAACCCAGCTGGAAACCCCTAAACTAATTGAGATGACCACTAAAATTCCTCCCTAAGCAAGTCAGAGGCTGAGAGTCTAGGAGCTTGTGAGCACCTGGAGACAACGCTAGGATTGGAGGCAGAGAAAATACCCTTGCTCCAGCCCACAGCCCACTGTTGAGGTCGAATGATGTCTGCTTTCCATCTCTCTGTGCTTGCTCTGCTTTGATGATCCCTCCGCAGGGAGCCGGGGGCAGTGGAGGTCTCTGGGGAGACCATGTGACTCTGCCATCATTTACAAGAGTTGAAAGCAAGTAGTCTAGATCCCAGCATGCCACCTGGTAACGTGTCATTTTCAAATGGAGAAGTTGTCTTTGTACTATGTTTCACTGTAACAAGCAGAGATAAATGTAGGAAGTTTTGGAAGCTTCATTAACTCTTTCAGCCACAAGGCATCGTTTAGTTCAATGAAGTAGCTGTTGAACAGTTTAATAAATCGTTGCCTTAGGGCACTCACAGGCTTCCTGTGGCCTGAAAGAGTTAATGAATTCCGCCCCCCCCACCCCCCCGGCCTCCCGCAGTGCTTGGGATACACCCCCCTCTGAAGTGAAATGGGCTGTTTGGTGACTGAGTTTTCATAGCTTGGTGGAGAGGAAAGAGCTTCTGCGAGTAGGTAGACGCGTTTTCACTAATCCCAGCTCCACTATTACCGTGTTGTAGCAAGATTTTTTTAAAAGATTAAATGAGATGAGCAGAAATACTTAATAAGCATAAATATTTTAATAAATGTAATGCCTGTTACAAATGAGAGGCATGGCTTATTATCTTTTACTAGAATTAATAGACACAAGGCATGAAGTAAAACTGAAATTATAGTCTTCCTCTTAACCTCAAATGGTAATAAGCCAAGACTTTAAAGGAATTATTTGAAGATTATAAAGCATTTATTTCTCCAACACATGTACTGCTCATCTAAACTGAAGTGATGTTATGTCCAGCTAAAGTTATATGGATTTGTTAAATTAAAAAAGTTAATCCATATATAATACAATGAGCGGAACAAAAAGCCTGTTTTTATTAACCTGGGCTTGGCTGCATGAACCTTTTCTATTATACAGAAATGCATGTTATTCACTTAAAAAAATCTGCATATAAATATTGATGCCCCACCTTGAAAATGTGTAAGGGTAATTCTCCTAAATTCCACTGCAAACAGAAGATCTGGGATTAAGCCCCACCTCTGCCACTTCTTGGGCAAGTTATTTTGCTCCTCTGGGTCTCAGTTTGCTTGGCAAAAAATTCTCGTATATTCCCCATCTACCTCATAAGATTGTCCTGGAGATCAAGTGACATAATGCGTGACAGTCCTTTATAAGATGCACAATCCCTTGCAGACCATTAGAGATCCTTTTGGATATTGCAGTGGCTTCTCTTTGGTACACATGGGCTCAAAAACATATCCCTTTGTTGCAGACAAGCAGAATGATGTGGAGATTCCATCTCCCACCCAGAAAGACAGAGAGAAAAAGAAAAAGCAACAGCTCATGACACAGATAAGCGGAGTGAAAAAACTGATGCATAGTTCAAGCTTAAACAATACAAGCATCTCACGCTTTGGAGTCAACACGGAAAATGAAGATCATCTGGCCAAGGTATGTATGAGCTTGGGGAGTGTGTGTGTGCTCTCTGCTTTACAGCTGGCAGATGCCCAAAACTACCTACTAGAAAACAGTAGTGATGGCTTCTGCTTTATTATTAAATTGTATGATAAGGAGGCTGATGTGGTCTCTTTGTCTGTTGCACCTAGTTAAAGATTCTCTTTCCATACCTAAGGACCATTTTTTGTCCTGAGTTGGTAGAAGCCAAGGAGAGGCCAGTAAGCAGGACTGAATTATCCCAGAGGATATTTTGGGGAGTGCAGGCCAAGGACCAATGGGAGAATCTGCCCTGATTGGCACAGTTGGAGAAGAAGTGAGAGAAGTTGACAGCACCGACTCTTGAGCCCAACCTTGGTAGTAGAAGAAGGCTCAGAAAGAATTCACACATCCTCTAGGAGGCTGTGTAAGGTGTGTGCTGAGGTTCTCTTAGCCTCATGAGAGTATGAAATGAACTTACTGTGAGCAAATGAGCATTCAGTGAGGCCTTCTGAAAGATATCATTAGAGTAAGGTTGATTACGCATTGGGCCAAGCTTCTCGGGAGAACCTGGATCCCTTACTCTGGGCAGTCATTAAGAATGGAGTAAATTGGTCCTTTAATCAGTAATCTTGGAATAATCCCACAACACAGGACTGAATGATGCTTCTTTCAGGTCTGTATGTGGCCCAGGAGCTCTAGGACATAATACGTGACTGGCATTCTTCATGACTTTTTACATTAAACTGGAGTTGACTTATGCAGGCTCCAGCAGCTGAGTCTCCCTGACCTGGCTCTCAGTGATAACAACCAAACCGCAGAGGAGTTTCCCTGAGATCGTTTTCTAGCTGTTACTAGTGAGCCAGTGAGCAGCGATGGGGAGAGACCGAGATATGGGACTACAGTGATGTCTAATCATTTGCAGCCACCTCTGAAAGCAGCACTGGTTGGGGACTGACGTATGGCAAATATAGGGCAGCAACTAAATTTATGAATAGACAAGACACACACTCTCCTTTTTCTGAAAAAATATACAGAAACTTACAACTAGCATGAAGAGGATACCCAACCTCCTAGGCCATTCCATTTTCAGATTTTCATGCAACTAGAACACTCTAAACAAATATAAAGACTTAGTGAGCCATTGTCCAAAAAGTAAATAAAATTAATAAGACATGCTAACAAAACTGTCCTTATTCCTCAATTCCTCCAATTTTGATTACAGGAGCTGGAAGACCTGAACAAATGGGGCCTCAACATCTTCAACGTGGCTGGGTATTCACACAACAGACCCCTAACATGCATCATGTATGCCATATTCCAGGTGAGTAAACAGGAGTGAATGCTGGTTATCCAACTGGATGGCTCTTTATGATTTTTTTCCATCCCAGTTTAATTTTCTGACTTGACTTTTCTTCATTTTTGGACATCCACTTATTTATTTTCTAATCCATTTTACTACGTAGGAAAGAGACCTCCTAAAGACATTCAAAATCTCATCTGACACATTTGTAACCTACATGATGACCTTAGAAGACCATTACCATTCTGACGTGGCATATCATAACAGCCTACACGCTGCTGATGTAGCCCAGTCAACCCATGTTCTTCTTTCTACGCCAGCATTAGACGTGAGTAGTTATGATCTGCTTTGCATACCTGCCAATCCTCTTTAAAAAGTGTCGTACAACATTAACATATTTACAGATATAGTGTAATTAAATGATTGTGTATAGCCTATACCACTTGGGTTGTTAATAAAAATGGATGACGTTTCTACTTACTTTGCATTCTAGTGTCAGAGCAGCCTTCCTTTTACATCTCTTACAATTGAAACATTATTTAATTATCAAGCAATTAACAGGGTGCTTTATTTTTCATTGTGTCTCTAGTATCTAAGTAGTGTCTAGTTGAGCATCTTGTATATAGCATATCCGCAGTATGCTTGTACTTATCTGAACTGTCCACTGTGGTGGGATAGCACAGAAATATAACATAAAATGTTCTATATAGTTCTTGTTAGGATTAAGCATCCATAGGCTTATTTTCCTAAGACTTCATCAAACTAATTCTATGGGTTGAAGGAAAAGTAACTGAGAATCTAGAACTGAGGAATTCATAATGCTGGAGCAAAGAGGGATAGTTCCATCTTGCCTTGTATCTCACTAGTAGGTGGTTCTGACTGCTTCCTGCACAGATTAATACCAATATAAGCAGCCAACGTGCCTGGCAGGCCATGCTCTTCCTTGACAGACAGCAGTAATATCCAGGTCCTTGCAAACTGTGCAGGCTCACTGCAGGAGAAGACTGGCCAAGACCTGTCCAGACCCAGCTCTGCAGGCTCAGTGTGGAAAGTGAAGAAAGATTAAACTGATTACAGCTCTATTGCTTGGGTTCCATATTTTCTGAGTAATAAAATCCAAGAAGACTTGGGAAAGTGAGATGAAGCTAAGGCTGTTTTATTCCCCTGAAAGAAGGAAACAGTATTATTTTTATGTTCTGTGTCAGTATCACAGAGTAGGACAACACCGTTTATCAACTATCCACTGTTGTTACCTACTGTGTGGCCAGAAATTGACCGTGACTGCCACAGATGTTTCAAGAAGCAAGAGTTCAACGTGTCCTTGAGTAATTAGATTGGGTCTTCATGGGAGAGGTGGAAACTGAGCTGGATCAGGAGACTTAAGTAATCACACAGGCTGAGCAAAGACCTTTCAGCCAGAGAAAGACATTTTATCCAGAAGCAATATACACCTAAATAAATACCAAGTTTAAATCATTGTGTGCAAGTTGGGGCAGAGGGGTTTCATAACACGGCATGTAGGACTTGAGCAGTGGGACATTAGGTTTCACTTCTTAGAAGTGTCCTCAAATCTGGTCCGTAGTAAACATTTAGTGGATAGGTATTGAATGAATGGATGAATGAATGAACATGCGAAAGCTTCTGACCACACTACAAATTTAGTTTTGTGAAATAATTTATTGCCAGTCTTAGAAATCTGGAATTTGGCCTTTGTTCTCTAAGTTACTCAGTCTGAAAACATATGAGGGTTGTTATTTCTTAGAGCAGAGCCAGTCTGACTTGCTTCTTTGACTTGTGTGTGCTTGTGTCGTGTAACACCGTTCCACCATACAACCTATCCAAGAAACAAACATCAGTCACCACCTGATCACTTACCATGAGCATCGCGGCTTCCTGAGCCTCAGCCTGCAGGCTTGATGTGGGCATGGGCTCTGGCCATTATCCCTTTTGCGTAAGAGACCTTACGATGATGGACAGAATATACATTTAATTAAATTAGTATGTTGAGACATTATATAAATCAATTATATAATTTATCAATTGTATCAATTTATCAGTTATATAAATCATTATATATTTATAAATATATAAAATTATATATAATCCTCCCAATAAGAATGAAATGGGATACTTTAATGTGAAACTGAATAAGCAGGACAGGCAAACAGGACAAGGCATTAAATGCGCTCATTTTTACTCTGCAGGCCGTCTTCACAGATTTGGAAATCCTGGCCGCCATTTTTGCTGCTGCCATCCATGACGTTGATCATCCCGGAGTCTCCAATCAGTTTCTCATCAACACAAGTGAGTTCACCCCTGGAACAGTCATTCGAGATAATTGTATGATTCATTGCTTAATTTTTTTCTTCCTAATGTTTTCATTATGGATAATAAATAGGGTAATAATGAGGTAATCCTTTCATTCCACTCAAACTGGTCAGACCTTTCCTGGATACTGTGTCCAGTCTGGCAACGTAATTTTTGAGCTGCATGTAGAACTTGGAAAGGGTCAGAGGGGAGCCATAAAAAGTGCTCAATGTTTGGAAAATACGATATGTGAGGAAAGAGTAACAGATGTGGAATTATCCAGTAAGGACAAAGAAAGCTTGGGAATAATGTGATAATGATTTTCAGTATTATGCAGGGATCTCACACAGAGCATGATGACCCATTAGAGTCCCTCTACTGAGGAAGCAGGACCAAATGTTGGATCTGAGCATGGGAACATCCAAATAGAAATAAAACTCAAAAAAAAAGCACTGGATTAGGTTTCCACAATTCAGGAGGAAGGGTCGTTAAAGGTCCCACACACTTTCTTCCAGTTGCATAGGTTTGATTATGAATTGGTCTGTAGTAGGGAAGATGACCTCATTGACCTTTAGGGCTGGTCCAGCCTTAGGATCCCAAGCCATACTTAAACCTTTGGTCATGCTCAAAATGTTTAGTATACATGCTAATGAAAATTCATGAATTCTCTCAGTTAATGCCCTATTTCTAAATGCTGAAAATCTAAGTACCTTTCCTTCTGAGAATGTTGGTTATCCTGTTGTGGTCATGATTCACATCAAGTGTGGATAGATTTATAGAAATGTTTGAGCTGCTTGCTGTAAAAGAGTCCTTGTCATTCCTTATCATCAGAATATCTGAGTGATCTAAGTGTGGGGGACATTGCGTTTTTACCTTGTTCTTCTGTTGAAAGATCATAAACTTTGGGCAACTACTTGTCTGCATGAGTTATATCAGCTGGCGTAGTGTGGTGTCGTGAATCAATCCATATTTGGGCCAGTTAGCTTCACACAGGAAGTGGTCTTTCTGCTACAGCCACCTATAGCACTACAACATAGAAAGCCAGCTTGCAGATATGTGCCCTTGATCGCAGAGTGAACAGGACAAGAGTGCTGAAATGACTTCATATACTCCTCCACTGAGGGAATTCCTGAGGATGCAACTCGAAGCACACAGTTAAAACAATGGTATATGAGTAACAGCACCTGCGATTAGTAACATATTGCTGTCAGTTAGCCACTATTCTTGATTAAGAGAAAATTGGGCTTCATGAGCTTGATGACCATATTCTCAATTGCAACCAGGGCTCTGCCTAATAAAAGATGTCTGTGGTCATTCTGTATAAAAGGCAGCTGGAAGATGTAGTTTAGGTTCAGATCGTGCAGTTTCTGGTGTATTGGGCCATATGGCAGAAAATTTGCATAAAGATTGTCCTAAAAAATTAATGTTTTGTTACCATATTTATAGAAAGCACAAAAAGTTACATTATTTGGATAAAGTGAAATTTTGCACTCACACCATTATCTTCTTTGAAAACCCCAAACTCACAATTGACAGAGATGGGGAGCATATAAAAAAGTGAAATAGCTTGAAAATCTTAATGCATTTGATGAGGTGGCATTCTCAGTTTATTCTTTTCCAAAGCACAAAATATGTGAAGACAAGGAAATTATAAACTGAGATAAAAATAAGATTTAGTTGCTTTGGAATGCCCTTACTTAATGTCAAATTCTTCATCTGAAGTGAAGGAGAAAAACGATTTAAAAATATTATGAATTTTAATCAATGAGAAAGTTTATGCACTAATATCTACTAGAAGAATTTTTTGCTTAGAAGCTGACAATTTCTCGAGGGAGATTGTTTCTCTCAGGGGAAAAGACGTAGATCTTGGCTCTTGAAATCATTTGGAGAGAACTAGATCTGATTTCACATTGAGGTAATGCCAACGTTTGAATCGTTTTTATTAAATCTTCATTTTTTCTTGTTTATTAGATTCGGAACTTGCTTTGATGTATAATGATGAATCTGTGTTGGAAAACCATCACCTTGCCGTGGGTTTCAAACTGCTGCAAGAAGAGCACTGTGACATCTTCCAGAACCTCACCAAGAAGCAGCGCCAGACGCTCAGGAAAATGGTTATCGACATGGTGAGACTTCAGCCTCTCTGCCATCCTCACTTACTTTTCCCTTGGCAGGAGGAGAAGCTCCACTCTCTCTGATAAACTGAGTTTACTGAGAGTTTTCATTTTGTTTTCACCCTAGGTGTTAGCAACTGATATGTCCAAACATATGAGCCTGCTGGCAGACCTGAAGACAATGGTGGAAACAAAGAAAGTTACAAGTTCAGGTGTTCTTCTCCTGGACAACTATACTGATCGTATCCAGGTATTTGATGCAAGCCTTTGATTTAACTCAAAGCCAAACCAAACGAAACCAAACAATAATTAAAAAATGAACACAAACAAGTTCATTTATTTGCATGTCCTAGTTTACTACTACAGCTTTGGGCTTAAGAACAAACTAAAGAAAATGGACATTCCAGTTTATCCTCTAATTTATGAGAAAAAACATAGCCCTATTTATTGAATTGCCTAGTTCTAAAAATAAATAGCAAAATCTTTTTGTAACAGAGCATACGTGACTACTGGTCTCGAAAGCTCATGTTTGGATTTGAATCCCATCGACTGGAAGTTTGTTAGGTCTGTTTTGGTTATACAAATTGCCATCAGCTGGTCTCCTCTTTCCACAAGTGGAAAATATGAAAACATCTCCTTTGAGTAATTCTTTGCATTTTTTCCAAACTGAGGAAAGGAAATGATGGCAGCATCTGACGTCCAATGTCCCCTCCTGTTTTTAAATTCAATGACTGTCAGTCTGAGAAGACACACAATTTCCCTCTTGGGACTCTTATAATGGTATATAAACCAACTCTGGCCAGCACCATTGTAATACTGCTTTTTTGGTGCACATGAGCCAAGGATTAAAAGGAAACTGAAATGTTCTTGAGTTGGTACCAAGTGTTCTGGTACAAGAGGGTTAAGATGTTCTGGTAGTGTTTACACCTAAATTTTACAGGATTTCCAAAATTTTGATGATTTCAGGTTCTTCGCAACATGGTCCACTGTGCAGATCTGAGCAACCCCACCAAGTCCTTGGAATTGTATCGGCAATGGACAGACCGCATCATGGAGGAGTTTTTCCAGCAGGGAGACAAAGAGCGGGAGAGGGGAATGGAGATTAGCCCAATGTGCGATAAGCACACAGCTTCTGTGGAAAAGTCCCAGGTACCTAACATAAGGTTTCCAAAGTTTCTGTGAGCTCTGCTGATCGTAGAACTGGAGAGTTCTATCTAGTTCCTTTCTTTTAACACAATACGTGTACAATATTGTAAGGAAGCAACTACCCATTCAGTTCCCTTATACTCGTGACTCATTTGCCCTCTCCATGACATTCATTTTCACAAGGTGGGGATAGAGCAGTCATCAGAAACCCATCGAAGTTTGGACTGTGTATCCTCAAACAGTTTGGATAGTTGTCTGCAACCTTAGCAAATCCAGCTGATGGAACTTGATGCTGCTGCCTCCTCCATCTCATCCCTCCAGATTTCTCCCGGCTCTTTATCCAGACACTCTACTCTTCCTCCTTGTTTCCTGTACCCTATTTTTCTTTCTGTCCATAATCAAGCACACTGCCACCATCACCAGAGGTAGTGAATCTCATTTCCACATGTCTTTTCTACTTCGTAGTCAAAGCCCTGCCCTGGCTCTCCTTACAACATTGTGTCTACACCTCTGAGAACATCTTCTGGTTGTGTGCAAGCCCACAAATTCAGTGCTTAGGACTGGGGATGATGCCCTGGAGGCAGGGGGATGCTGAAGTGCCCCAGATGCCTCGAGCTGCAGAGTACGTAGCACTTAAAAGTGTCAAAATCCCTGCAAAGCCTTCAGGGCCTGCGGAAATGTTATTTTTGGGGGGACAAGTGAGCTCTGCCAGGTGGTCATGACTGAGACTGGGTCTGTAGGCTGTCCAAGGTCTTTATCACAAAAACATTGGGAGTGGTTTTTTTGTTAGTATTTATCCTCTTTCTCCACTACCTGCTCCCCCCAATTTATATATACTTATAATATTAATGTATAGTTATTTTGCAATTATTATTTTGTGGCTTCTTAAAGAAACCCAATTAAATGAGTTTAAAAATCTGTGAAAGGCTGGCCCAGTGGCACAGTGGTTAAGTTCACATGTTCTGCTTCAGCAGCCCAGGGTTCACTGGTTCGGATCCCAGGTGCAGACCTACGCACCGCTTGTCAAGCCATGCTGTGGCAGGCATGCCACATATAAAGTAGAGGAAAATGGGCACAGATGTTAGCTCAGGGCCAGTCTTCCTCAGCAAAAAGAGGAGGATTGGCAGCAGATGTTAGCTCAGGACTATTCTTCCTCAAAAAAAAAAAATCTTTGAAAGTGCTCCGAAAGTGTAATGTTATAAAATGCTTGATAACATTAAGTTAAGGCCAATTCAAATACTCTAAAGCCTTAATTAGAATAAGATATAAATAAATGCATACATAAACACATAAATAAATAGTAATAAGGCCCTTTTATTAACAACAGTGATGTTTTATGTTTATATGGTGTTCTGTGTGGTTTTCCAGACATTTTCCCATACATTATCCTATTTGAATATCTAAGCAGCCTTGTGAGATGGACACAGCAGGTATTTCCCCAGCGCACCAGGTGAAGGAGCTGTTCTGTTGGTCCAATTCCCCAGCTCCTTAGTGACCCAGCTGCCCTCTCCCCAAAGCTCTTCACTGTCCATCACTGTGGACAGGTGCCGTGATGTCACGGTCCCACAGCTGGGCTCTGGTGCCTGAGTAGTCTGACAGTAAAGCCCTTGACTAGGTCCTCTTAGGATTGGTAGACCTTTGTCATCCCAGGACCTAGGAAATAAGTAACTAGAGGCCACTTTTCAAAAAGTGCTGAGCATTTAGCGGCAGCAAACAAATAAAGAAAGGAAATGACTGCACTGTGTTCAGCTGATTCAATTTTCTCCATTGCCTTGAGCTTGTTTTTTCGGGTCCCTGGAAAACACCTTGAAAATAGTCCCAAAAATCCATTAAACACACATAAAGAAGTAAAGGGGAGGAAAAAGGAGTGGGTGGAAGCAAGAGAAATATCTGAATCATCCACAGTCAAGTTCTTGTAACCAATGCAGATCAGAGATGCCCTGACTTTGGTGTGAATTCTGTTTGTTAAGGCTAGGGAAGCACCAGAGAGAAGAAGATAGATGATGATAGATAGATAGATAGATAGATAGATAGATAGATAGATAGATTAGATAGATGATAGATAGATAGATGACAGATTAGATAGATGACAGATAGAAAGATGACAGATTAGATAGATGACAGATAGATGATAGATAGATGAATAGATGATAGGTATAGATAGATAGATAGATAGACATATAAAAGAGTCATATATGACTAAGGTTCTTTGGTATGGTACAAATTTGATGTATTAAATGACTGGCTAAAACCCAGAATGTTGATTCAGAGAAGTTTCCAGTAGTGTGGGAAGATAGGTATATAATGTCCCATGGGTACATATAAGTTGTCCTTGCTCGCCTCCCACTGCAACCCGACCCCACATCTCCCCAGCTCCCCAGACCATACAGGGGAATTCCACTCTCTCATTCACTGGTGCCTATTCTTTCTCTCGACCTGCCCCACCCCCAATGTTTCCTGTTTGTCTTACAATGGAGAGGTCAGCATGAGGCCACAGAGCGAGCTCATGCAGGATGCATAGCCCCTGTGCAGACCGTAGCAGAGCCATGATCCTCTTATTTATTCACAGGAACACTGCCAAAGGAACTGCTTAATTGTTTTTATTTTCCCTTCTTTCTCCTGATGGAAATGACTGTGTGCCTATGAATCTCAAACAATTGCAGACACGTCCAGAGAGGGGATATTTACTTGTTTAGGGGCTTGAAGTATTTGCAGATGTTTTACCAAACTCGTCTACAAACTGAAAGCATTCCACAGAACCTGAGAAATCTCGGAATAGTCGGGGGCCAGTTCCCCTTCATTTTGGAACAGCAGCGTATTTTAAAGTTACCAGGGAAAGAATGTTGAGTCAGAATTCGTTAGACCTGGGGTTTCCTTCTTCAGAGAATGACTCACAGAATCCAACTAACGATAAAGTCATTCCCAGCCAGGGTTACATCCAGACTTCTTATCTGGCACACGTAAAAGGAAAAGCAGTCAGTTATAGTGAGACGAACACAGGCGTTGGAATCAGAAAAAGCTGGGACTGAGTCCCAACTCCACCACTAACTGGCTCTGCCTCTGTGACCTCTGACAAGATATTTCTTCTCAATGAGTCTTAGTTTCCTCCTTTGTACATGGTGGATAACAATACTTAGTTGGCGGGATTAAGAGCGGTAATTCATATATTGTACGCACTGCAGGAGTACCATATAGTGCATGCTCAAAAAATGGAATCCATTACTTTTGATCTCTCTTGGCTTCTTGTTGCTCTTTCTTCACATGGAAACAGGGCAGCTTGTTTGGTTTTCGAGAGCTCATCACAATAACAGATGTGTCACCTTATTTTTCTGCAGGTTGGTTTCATTGACTACATTGTCCACCCGCTGTGGGAGACCTGGGCAGACCTGGTACAGCCTGATGCCCAGGACATTCTGGATACATTAGAAGATAACAGGAACTGGTATCAGAGCATGATACCCCAGAGCCCCTCCCCACCCCTGGACGAGCAGAACAGAGACTGCCAGGGCCTCATGGAGAAGTTTCAGTTTGAACTGACCCTCGATGAGGAGGATTCTGAAGGACCTGAGAAAGAGGGAGAGGGCCACAGCTATTTCAGCAGCACAAAGACACTTTGTGTGATCGATCCAGAAAGCAGGGATTCCCTGGGAGAGACTGGTGTAGACATGGCAACAGAAGACAAGTCCCCAGTCGACACATAATCTCCCTGTCCATGTGGAGACGAACATTCCACCCTTGACAAGCATGCCAGCTGTTTGGTAGGGCCAGCCCGACATGGGGGCCCAGGCCTGCACGGGACAAGGGCCATGTGGCCTTTCCAGTTACTTGAGTTTAGAGCCAGAATGCAAGACCGTGAAGCAAAGAGCAGCTCAGGAAACTCCACGGTTGACTTGCCTTGCTTGCAAGCTTGGTGGAGAGCTGAAGCTTCACGTGGTACTGGAGGCCAAGTTCGGATCATGACTACATGGCTTGAAAATGGAAGACACAAAACTGAGAGATTTTTCTGCACTAAGTTTTGGGACTCTGTCCCCCCTAGTGACCGAACTGACTGACTAATAACGTCATTTATAAATCTGCTCACCTGTCCCCTTGTCTGCCAACCTGTGTGCCTTTTTTGTAAAACATTTTCACGTCTTTAAAATGCCTGTTGAATACCTAGAGTTTAGTATCAACTTCTACACAGATAAGCATTCAAAGTTGACATGAACTTTTTTGACTCTTTCTGGGGAAACCAAAAAAGGAAAGAACACGGTCTTCCTTCTCTCTTGGGCAATATCTTTCACTTTACTACAGCGACTTTTGCAAATAGAAAGGCTACGCTTCTAACCACACTCCACTTCCTTCCCCCGGTGTCCCATCCAACTTGTTGCCTCTGTCTGCCTGCTCTGAACAGTAATTTTTTCTCCTCTAGAGTTTCACTGTTTTGCTGTAAACAGAATAAAGTTGAACAAACTAAGGGGCAGGAAGGGTAGTTGTGTTGTTCACAATAACAGTCAGTGTAAATTCACCTTGATGAGGCAGTGCGCCCCGCGTGGCTGGCCCCCGGGCCCCGGGAGCGCACATCCCCGTCCCCTCCTCGCCCCCCACCCCACCCCCCTTGACTGATGACGCCCTTGCCAACTTCATGCTGCCGTCTCTCTCTTGCACTGCCTTCTGCCCTGACACCTCCATTCTGTTTATAACCGTGTATTTATTACTTCATGTATATAATGTAATGTTTTGTAAGTTATTAATTTATATATCTAACATTGCCTGCCAATGGTGGTGTTAAATTTGTGTAGAAAACTCTGCCTAAGAGTTGCGACTTTTCTCGTAATGTTTTGTATTGTGTATTATATAACCTGGACGTCGCTTAGGAGAGACACGCGGCCCCTCGCCAGTGAGGAGTCGCTGGGCTTTTCTTCAGAGGCTCTGCCCTTGCCCCCGTCTGAGTTGCTAATCCCACGCAACCCCTTTATGAACCGGTTTTGGAAACAGGATTGTCACATTAGATACTAAATGGTTTATACTGAGCTTTTCCTTTTGTATAGTTTGTTAGGGGGCTGGGCAGGGCACTGTAGTCTTGGCCCACGTTCCATCCGCGTCTGCGTGTGCAGGAGTTGGGCGACAACTGGGTTCTGCTATCGCTGTAGCTTCGGTTTAAAAAGCAACACTACATTTGCTCCCAGGCGGCTCTTTGAGTGTTCCCCAACTACTGACTTCGACGAGAAAGCCCCCCGCCTGCCGTTGGGCAGGAACGTCATGTTCCAATTAATTACAAAAGAAAACAATAAAACAATGTGAATTTTATAATAAAATGTGAACTGATGTACTAAATTGTGCAAATGTGAAGCTTCCGGTGACACTTGTTAGGCTTCCTACTGCCTTCAGTCTCAATTTGTAAAATGTATTTCACGCTTTCAGTTTCAGCCTTGTGACTCAGTAGTTAAAAAAAACGGCACAAATGTGCATGACCAATGGGTTTGTATGTCTGTGAACACTGCTATTCAGGTGGACATTTGATTGTTTTCAAAAGTTTCTCACCATGTATGTTATAGTATTATTATTATATATTGTGCTCAAATGCATTCTTCAGAGACTTTTATATGAGGTGAATAAACGAAAGCATGATTAGATTAGGCTGTAGGCCCAATTATTTTGTGGTTGGTTCTGACGTATCCAAAGCACACCTTTTTTTCTCGTCTCTCCTGCCATACCCCACAAAGAAACCCAACCACTCTGCCTCGCCAAATCACCACTGAAGTTTCAGAATCTGTGTCCAAGAAGTGCCCTGGCTGGGAACGTCTCACATTCTCTCAGCCGCTGTCTGCCGAGCTCAGTGGTGCGGGGCGGGAGGTTGGGAAGAAAAACAAACAAATCCCCTTTAAGAATCTGAAGAGTTTAATCTACTAGATAAATAAAGGGAATCTCCAACTTGGCTGGGTCCTCTAGAAAAGTGAATCATAGAATCACAGAACGTTAGCTTAATGGGGTCAGTTGGTCCCATCAATCATTTGACGCCTGAAGAATCTGAGGTCCGAAGAGTCATGTTGAAGCACGATCCACAGAGCGCTGGTGGATGCTCGTGGTCTTCCCAACGATCCGTGGGGTCTCCTGTTGAGCATATGGTTATGCTTTTCTTTCTGGAAAGAACTATGGAAATATTGTAAGCAAAATGTCTAAATGCTTTGTTGAAATCTTAAAGTCAGCTTTAAAAAAAAATTTATCCTGAGAACTGTGTGCCTGTGTGTGAGGGGATGTGTGTGTGTGGTGGTAAAGCTGCAAGTGAGAACCAGTGGCTGGCCCATGCTGTCTTAACCTCAGGGAAGTGGTTTCTGAAGCAGTCAGAAGCCCTGCTCTGGAAGAGCGGCTCGATAAACCGACGTTGCTGAATTTCTTCACGAAGATGGTGGAAGATGAGCCAGCACTGCAGGACCAGCTGGCCTGCTGGTCGCAGAGCTGACGTTCGTAGCACTTCGCCAGCATCCCTGACTTCTGGCTGCACCTGCCACCTCCGAGCTTTGACAGATTAAGTGAATGAAGTGAATTGGTTAGAGCAGCCACACGGCTGACTTTTAAAATGTCTACAGCTATAATTATTTATAATATTTGCAGGTCTGTTTCTATGGAGCAGTGGTTCTTAACCCTTACTGCAAAAGGAGAGTCACCTAGGGAATAAATAGTCTAAAAAATATTGATGTTTGGGCCCCATCCTCACCCCAGATTTCTGCTTGAATTGGTCTTGAGTGGAGCCCTGGGTATGGGATTTTTTAAATACTCCCCAGGTAATTCTAATGTGTAATCTGAGTGGAGAACCACTGTCCCAGGAGACAGAAGTGTGCTTGTAGCTGAGGCTTTTGTCTTAGTCTGTTCAGGCTGCTACAGACTGAGTGGCTTAAAAACAACAGAAACACATTTCTCACAGTTCTGGAGGCTAGAAGTCCGAGATTAAGGCACCAGCATGGTCACGTCCTGCTAGGGTCCACTTCCTAGTTCACAGCAGGTGCCTCATTGCTGTGTCCTCGTGCAGTGGAAGGAGGTAGAGATCTCTCTAGACTCTCTTTTTAAAGGCACTAACCCCATTCACGAAGGCTCCACCCTCATGACTTCAGCCCCTCCCAAAGGCCCCACCTCCTAATACTGTCGTTTTTAAGAGTTAGGATTTCAACCTATGAATTTTGGAGGGGACACAAATATTCACACTCTATCAGCTTTCTTTTACACCAGCTATCTACAGACATTTTGTACTACCATGGCCAGGCACTGGTTCAGGTACAGAGATGAGAGTAGGGACCAGAGAGGGGTAATACAGGGTTGCATTCCAAGACCTGGCAATCTGCTGTTGTTGCCTTCCAGAGCACAAAATCATAATATGTTCTCGGGAAAACCACAGTAAAGGTCAACCCAGAAGTTAATCCTCTGGTTCCATAGGCCGTAAGCGTAACCACCCTCCAAGATCTGATGGCATGGCAGTGCTCCTGACGGTAGGGAGCTACTGCAGAAGCAGAAATTATTACAGCGTCTTTGCCAAGGCCAAGGCTGATAGCTTGGTACTTAACAAAACACATGGGAGCCTAAGGCTGATTTATAGACTCAGGAACTGTCAGCGTTAGAGAGAAGTACCCACACACACACGTGCATGCACTCGCGCAGGATGGCATTTCCCTGGCGTGTTTCCACAGGTTTATTTCGATATAAATAAGTTGGAGGTCATGGTAATTCTCGGTCCACTGAAAGAAGCCTGATGGACTCCAAGTGAAAGACGGTGGTTTATTGCACGGATGCTGGGGCCCCGTGGCCTGGGTTCAAATCCTAAGGTTTCCATTTATTGACTGTACAACCTTAGAGAAGTCCTCTACTCTCTGGGCTTCAGTAAAATGGGGATTACGAATCCGTCAAACGGGGATGATAAACCCAGGCCTTTCCCCACCATTTCGTTGCTGCCTTTCTGAGCCCCATGTCTAAATGAATGCTCAAATAGATGATCATATGAGCCTTAAAACCTGTGAACCAAGATGGGGCAGGATGGCTGGCAAATTCCATTCACAAACCGTGCTCTGTGCACCCTGTACGCTTTACCAAGAGTTCTCCAACCTGGTTATCTCCCACATCCCTCAAGACTCAGATCAGGTGACCTCCTACAGGAAGCTTCCTTGACCCCCATGGTTGGGATAAGGACTCTTACTTGAACAGCCTCTACTTTGCCACTAACTAGCTGTGTGATGTTGGGCAAGTCACTCAACACCTCTGTGCCTCAACTTTATCATCTGAAAAATGGGGATAATTACAATAATACCTAGCTTACAGAGGGTTATGTGAGAATTACATGAGTTGATGTATATGAAGTACTAAGAAATATTATAATTATTAACACCTACCATTATATGTTTAAGTTAGGTTTTTATCTTTTCTAAAAGACTATAACTCATTGAAGTCAGAAGCTGGATCTTATTCCCTGTCGAATTTTCAGTGCTTAATCCAATATCTGGAACAAATACACATTTGTCAAACTGAACCGAGCCAGATGGTTTTGTGCAAGGGGTGAAATGCAACCTCAGGCCCAAGGCTTTCCAAACCAAAAAAGATGTTGGTCTCTGAGCCCTGGAATGATAAGCCATAAAATTTTAGAACCAAAGGTTCCTCAGAGATCTTTCCTTTTATAAATAAAGAAACTGAGGCTCAGAAATGGCCAGTGACCTGCCTGATATTGCACAATGTGTTAGTGTCCTGGGGCTGCTGTCACCAAGTGCCACACGCCGGGCAGGATAAACAACAGAAGCCTATTGTCTCACCGTCCTGGAGGCTAGGAGTCCAAGGTCATGGTGGCGTCAGAGCCAGTTCCTTCCGAGGGCCGTGACGGAGGATCTGACCGTGCCTCTCGCCTCGCTCAGGGCGGTGTGCTGGCAATCTTTGGCATCCTTGGCTCGTCAGTGCGGCGCCTGAACTCTGCGTCCACGTTCACATGGTGTGCTCTCTGTGCGTGCTTGTGTTCAAATGTCCCCTTTTTATAAGGACAACAGTCACGTTGGGTTAAGGGCCCACCCTACTCCGTCTGGTATGACTTCATTTTAACTAATTACATCCACTAGGACCGTATTTCCAAATAAAGTCGCATTCTGAGGTGCTGGGGGTTAGGACGTCAACATGTAAATTTGAGGGGGTGAAACAGTTCAGACCATAACATGGTTACTCACCAGAAGGTTTCCTGGTTCCCAGCACAGGGCTCCTTCTGTGACGTTGTGGAATCTGGGGGCCTTAGACACCCATTCAACCTGTCCTCAACTCAAACCCCTCTCTAAAATCGGGGGAATGGACTGTGTGATTGCACAGGTACTATCCAGTCATAAAAAGTCTAACGCTTTATACCAAAGCATTCTTGTTTTCTTAAGGTGTCTCTGGGTTCTTCAAACATAGGATTATCTCCTTGGTGTAGTGAGGTGCCACACAGAGGGGTCAGGGTCAAGAGGGACAGGACCTCAGCAGAGTAGGACACACAGAGCCCAGGGGTCAGGAGCTTGGGCTCTGAGGGTGAACAGGCCCCAGTTCAAATCCCCTCAGGGAGCAGCAAGAAGGCCAGGTGAGGAGGAGGAGGAGGAAGTAAGGTTGGCAGCCAGGTCACAGGGCATCGTTAGGCTCACGTAAGGACTTGGGAAGTCACTGGACAGTTTTAAGCAGGGGACTGACGTGATCAGACCTACATTTCTAAAAGATGACTCTGCAAGGACAGTAAACCCTGAGGCATGTGCACAGCCAGGGAGACCAGCGAGGAACTACTGCAACGGTGTCCTGAAGGGACAGGAACTTGAGGAGACTAGTGGTGGAAGGGGTGTTGAGAGGTGGAAGATTTGGGGACGTGGTGATGGATTTGAAAATGGGAGCACAGGAAAAGGCGCGAGAAAGATCCCAAGGATGTGGCCTGGGCAGCCCGTTGGATGGCGGGAGCATTTCCTATTATGGGGAGCATTTGGACAGGAACAGATTTTGGTGGGGGACACTTTACGTTGGAGTGATTCTGGCCATTCAAGTGGAGATGTGGAGGAGGCACGTAGATGTATGAGTCCGAAGCTCAGGCCAGAGTTCCTGAGAGCCCTCAATCTGGCAGTGGTCAGGGTCCCCATCCACTTGGCCCCTGAGTCCACGTGGGCTAATTCTGTTTTACCCAACTCATCCCAACCCCAGATGTCATCCCCTCTGTCGGTTCCTCAAGAAATCTGCCCACACCAAGCATTTTATGTTGTTATAGAATTTCATTGACACTACAGGGGATCTTCGGGGGTCATGTTCAATCTCACGCTGCTTTCTGCCACCACACAGCTACTTCATTCCCTCTTTCTCCTTTTCACTCTATCCTCCAATTCATTGAACCTCCCTCTCAGGAGCAAAACCAGTGATTTTTCCTGGCTTTTGCACTATGGTTAGCATTCCTCTTGTTGGTGGAGCATGATTTGGGGGAATCTACTTTTCCAAACCAAAAATCTTCTCAATAGGTATTTTGTGCAAATATACACAAGAGAAATTCAGATGTAAGAGCCTTTCTCCATCTTGTTATATCGTCCCCCAGTAAAAATGGGAAGCTCACTTACAAACTTTGTAGTGAGTGAGGAGATGAGTGAGGAGCAAGGCACAAATGTTTC